ATATATACATATATATATATATACATATATACCGATCACGCTACTTATAGCAACTCATGCGACACGCTGTTTTTAACCGTCTAAGCAGTGTAGTCCACCATGGTGTCTAAGTATGTTTTAGCCTTCAGAAAACTAAGTGTTTAATTGAGCATATGGAATTCAGTGGCAAGTAATTATCTTGCAATAACGTGAAATGTATTTTCATAGGGTACCAGGCACGTTGGGCTTGAAAATGTCATTTTTACCAAGGTACCACATATAAAACAAACTGAGAGATTGATTTTTTTCCAACCGATAAAATGGTGTCAGTTTTACGGCCTGAGTGCACCAACATAGAGTCAGGTTGAATGATTAGAAACAGTGAGTGCTGAATTACTAGTCAACGTCCAGTGAAGGCCGGTTGGTTACGCAGTGCTCTAAAACGACTTACCGGTTTCCGGAACATTTTGATGGTATTTTGAGCATTGTCTACCAACTCCAGAGTAAGTATGCTCATGCCTAGTGGATGGAATGGGACGAAAGGAGTGAATGCAACTCAAAGCGAGAAAAATGCGACTTATTAAAGACTCCAGGTTATACTCAATTTCACTACGATACACAAAATGCTGGTTCCAAGCAGTTCATCACTAAAACAACAGAGTTGAGATTCCGTCCAATGCAGTGGATACAATTTGTGAGGCATTATAAGTTATGATTATAAGTTATGAGTAGCATGAAAATTCCAGCGTGCAATTTGTCTCGCAAAACCATCTACAGACAAAAGGATTAGCACTGAAAATTATAACTTCCGATTAACCCATACATTATCCTACAGAAATTTCGATGAGCCTGTCACTCCTGAAATGAGCTGTCGTCAGTCCATCAATTTTGACGTCAGACGCAGCTTACTCGAGAACGTCCCAGCATTAGTGACTTGACATTTTCAGGTTACCGGTACGGCAAATTCAGTCCCATTACAGCACTTTTTCAGGTTATGTATGGTTTCCTAATCTGCCGCACCAGTTTACGTTGAGAACGTTACAATCGGGTTGCAAACTGTGCATCTGAAGATTGGAAATAATCAAGTCCCATTATTCACAGTTTGATCATGCATTATTTAGGAAGCGATTGGGTGAACAATGTCTTCGACAGTTTTCCACGATGTCCTCTAGACTGCGCAGAAGTCCTTTGGTTGTTGTGGCTATCAAGATGTGTTTAACGTATGGATATGTGCCATCCGCCACCGTACTATGAGCGTGCATTCGTGTAAAATTTGGCATCAGGCTGTTCCCTGGTGCACCAAAAGAGAGTCAAAAAGTACCAATATTTGGTTTTGTTTGTAACTGTGACAGCAGTACAGCAGCATCGAACAGACTCATTTATTTCGTAGTGGTATCAACGTAAATCAGGATATGTTGGATCTGTAGGCCGACAAATGAGTTCTCAAAGGATGGCTCCTTACAATGCACGAAAACACCACTGACGCAGTAGCCCGAAACACCTGGAGGCTACGAGCAGTGATACTAGCTGGGCGAAACTTCGTGTTTAGTTTGGGTGATTGAGTTAGTGAGCGAAGTTCCAGAGTATGTACAACAGTCGGGGTGGTGTAGTATCTAGCACTATTTAGACATCAACAAGAAACGTGTAAATACAGAAACTAAGATGGAAAGGTGACTGCTATCATATACACTACAGTAACAGTTCTGCCAACCGATCTCTTTAAAATCCATCGAGAAAATTCGTGAAATCAGCGGTGATGTCGTTCAAGAAGACGAACTATACTTGCGGCTTTTGAACTCCAAAAGCCTGAGATTCCAGTTCTAACCGGTATTTGTATTCATGCATAAATTCAGCGCGTGCAGTACCAGACCAAGTGATAGTTCTCAAAGAGATAGTTAAAACTTTCCAGCTTACTACAGTATACAAACCAGCATTCCACCTCTCAGAACGCTTCATTCTTGTCTACAGTTAAAAACGCATTGATTTTTTTTACAATCGAAACATGCCTTCAATGTCTGCCTTTGCTACTCTACCAGCCGGAACTTGTCAACCTCGAGGAATGCTCCAAAGGACCATGACGGTGTTGTATTTTCTTAATATTTCTTTTTAAAAACTTGACCAAAAGACAATACAAAAAGGTGATTTTATGAGAAGGCTCCATTAAGTGAAAATATATATTGGCACAACTTCATAACTAGGAGTTCACTAGCTAAGCATAAGGAAATAAGTGGGGCCTATGAAGAATCTGCAGTAAAGCCGCTGGGTTGGCACGAGAGGTGTTCATGACTATCCCTATTCCACGGGTTACAATATTACCGACAATTTAAAACAAGCAGTCGAAATCCCCGGAACAGACATACCTGACAAGCGATTGTTATCAGAGTCAGGAAAGTGAAGATGTGCACCGATTGCGTATTCTTGTCCAATTGTCAAAACCTGTCTCTCATAGTAATCGAAAAGAGTGGTTACTTACTGCCTCACCGTCGAAAGCCAAGGGGAACTCTGCTGTAGGAAAGCTACACATGTTATTCGAGGTTTGCACTCCACCTGGGCATGTGGTGCTGGTACAGATCCAAATATAAGGTATTTTAAATTTACTTGAAGGTAAAGTCAAGAGATTGTTGCCAAACAACATTCGGTATGGTCATGTAGCGGATCAAAGCTGAAAGAATTCCGCACGAAATCAGCGTTCCCAGTTCCACAACGGAAAATACGGAAGCGTAGCCAAGAACGGTCAAGACCAGCGGAGTCATTGGATGGAATAGTCTGCAGGGAATGAGGAAAGTGGTGCAGAGGAAACGATACCGGTAAGATGTGCATGTTTAGTCGACACTTGTCCAAAATGTTGGGAACTACATGAAGTTTGGCTATTAAGTCAGTCCAAGTGGCTCACCACTTCACTTCGCTTGGTGACACTGGCGTACTTAGAATTAAAGCAGGGGCTTGTGAGCCATGAGTCCCTATGGACGATTGCAGACCCCCAAGGAGAGTCTATCCCTGAGCGCAATTCCCCGCACAAAAATTTAGAGATACATCGCGCGGAGTGTACTATTTAGATTCGCAGTACACCTTGGAGTGAATATTGCCTGTCTTAATACTGAATAAGTCATTGAACAAGTCATTATGTGAATTTTGAAATTGATGCTATCTCACTGGGTGACAAAGCCTCCATAAATCTTGCGTAATTCAAGCTACTTCAACTACTCGCGGAAAGGCAAATAGTCATAGTGACTGGTTTCACTAAATGTCTGTCAACTCCCTATTTGCTGAAATGAATGGCTATGTGTATCCATGAGTGCACAACAGTAAGCTTGTGGTATAGCGGGTGTAATTCAACACAGCTGTAACCAGGATATATCAGCCTCATTCTTTAAGGAAGCTAAACGCTCCCCATCGCATTTCAATATTACTGCACTGCGTCACGTGAATTTCCGTCCAGAGAACATAGGCGCTCCTACATATACAGCACATTGATAAACCTTTTCATGGAATCACCTGACTAGTACCGCTTTCACTTGATCTGTCGTAAGGCGCGAACTCACTGACCAGAAGTTCCAAACCCGATTTGTACATCTCCACGGCTCCTGTCTAGACTTGGCAGTATCTCATCCCTCGTGCCTTCTTCGGTTGGCATGTAGCTAGGCCCCGAAGGGGTGCTACGACTGAACCAGTTTTTGTTGTGGGTGTGCAGGTGTGTCATATCTAGGCGATTCCGCTGTTCCTCAGATGAAGAGTTCATCCTGACCTCTACAAACTAGTTGCAGTTATGAAGATGGACAGCTGAGCAAGTCAATTCAACGCTGGTCTGATGTTTCCGGCGTGTGGCTGGTACTGGTGTCGTGTTTGGCAGATTCCTCAACGAAAGTTAAATCTGACTGTTGTTTTAGTAGAAAATGTGGGAGGGAGCATGCGGACATAGAACTTTCACCAATGCCTATTTTCACGATGAAGACTAATGCTTTAAGTACAGTTCTCATCGACAATATTTGGATGTTGAACGATCAGTAGCGTGTGACACAATACATCCAGGCTTTCCGGCTAACCAACGGAAGCTCAAGTTCACAAGGTTCCTAATCTTCCTTCATCTAGTTGAGAAATAACACAGTTCATGCCTGACGGTTGTCGTTAAATTCAGAGCATAAATTGATGATTTTTGACGATCTCTTCCTCACGTCAAAACACAAAACAATGGTTCATAAACAATGCAGAGAAACAGGGCAAAGATAAAGCAGTCCGCTTATGTGACGATTGACAGCTCAGGTCAATCGATTGTGTCGTGAACGGTTTCCAAAATTCCAGTCAGACTGCTTTATATTAATCTCGTTTATCGTTAAACATGAACTATCGCTCTCTATTGACCATAGGGGATCACGGAAACAGTGATTTCAATAAGCTTTTGTTCTGAAATAGTACAGTCCTTAAGCTAGGACGGTTCACACCCGTGGATGCATTGGAACATTATGCACTACCTACCCGTTGCAATGCCAACCACACTTTGCTATCGGGCCATTAAAAAAGGAACACCAGGAACGACATTAGTTTTTCTGTGGACACAGCTAGGTCAGGTGTTCGACTTTGGTTAAGGGCATATAAAACGCTCCCTGGAAGAGCATCAAGTACCATGCAAAGAGGAGAGCACTAAACTGTGGTTCGGCTACTTCAACATCACACAGCGTCAGAGAGACTCCAAAATCACTGGAAGGTAACAATTTTCTGAATCAAGTATCCACTACGCGTTAGTGGTAGTGAGAGTACTAGTCAGCGGACTGAACCACCTCTTCGCGGTGTTGAAGAGTGATATCCCCCTTGCGTTAGGCAAACGAAGCTGTTCGCGGGATGAGAGAAACGTTCTCATGGTCGATCGGTTATCAGCTACAAGTTACATGTGCTTAACCGGTAAGCAGATCTGGAAGAATAGTCATCTACTGACCCCGACCAAACCATCGACCATACAACTCCATATTCATTGGAACTTGAAGCCTAAGCCACCTGATTCAATCAGACCGTTAACTGCACCGTGTCACTTCTGGAATCCAACCCTGCCAGTTCACTATACAGTGTTTATATTTGGCTTTGCCCGAAAGTTGCACTCTGGCATCGTGACACCGGCGGAAATCCTGCTGTTTCTGAACCTCCACGCACCCAAGGTGTTTCCCACACCGAGCCCTGTCCCTCGACGTCGTTTCCAGTAAGCTGATCGTGTGCCGACTCGAAAGTAGATTCACCGAGCTAACCAGGCCGCCATCGAGACCTCATACCACCAGCTTTTGCTGTGTTAGATGCGTGGGGAAAATTATAGAAAGGGCTTACCTTCGAACACCGGACGATACCGGATACAGGTACCCAGCCCTAAAATACATGAATATTCGGATGAATCGTTAGGTGCTGTCATCCTCTTGGAGTTTGGTCGAACCAATTACAGGACAGGAAGTTATCCGCACGGTCTGTCTGACGGGGATTACGTCACTAGGTCTGGATAAGCACACACCCAGAATGTTTGGGTGGTTCAAAGCCGATGTACGTGCCATGCATTCCAGCTTGTTCTCAATATCTGGTCACCGCCCACCATTTGGGTTATGCCCGGGTTACCTCACTTTTTAAGGTACTAAATCCAAATTCACCGGCCTGATTAGGACTAATTTCAGTGACATTGGTTCTTATTCTTCATTAGTGCTTGCAGTTCGACGGGAACGTAGGTTGCAAATGCTTCCGTTTCCTCTGGTGTTTCTATACGGAAACTCCTGTTCGGAAGCTCGTCACTATTTGATGACTACTCTGCAGTCAATTAGGCATTTGTTTACATCCCGGAGGCTTTTGATTGGGTTTCGCATGACGCAACTGCCGAAGCGTTTGAAAAGCGACACATCTAGATCGATATATCGCATCCTATGAGGAGGCTGTAACAGTTTTCCCTCATTCAGTGGTTCACCGCTGCAGAGGGGTGAGTCAGAGAGATCCAATCTCCCAAGTATTACTCATCAGGTCGATGAATGAGGTTGTCTGATTGTTGAAGGCGCAAGCAGGTCACCAGTTCTATGACACACACACGATAGCATCAGGACGGGAAGATGCAGTGACTTATTTATTGTTTTCATACCTTTTTCTGCATGATGGGTAAACTTCACCTTCTGGGCACAACTACTTTACTCCCTACCAAATGAAACGCACAGAACAAACACCGATTAGGTCATTATCCTAACGCATCAATGTTATCCCTTTATTCGCCTCATTTTTGGTCAACCAAACCGAAGCGACTGGAACCACTGTGTGTCCGTACAATTTTTTTTACTAGAAGTTTGACTAACGGATCACTGTGAGATCTTTGTGTTGAGCCATTCAACCACAAGGAATTGTTCGTTCGCTTGACCTGTCGTTTCGTTATCCAGTTGACCCTTAAGAAACTACCCCTTGAGCCCACGAAGTCCTATGATGTTTATATTTCTCATCATTCTAATCAAATAATCCAGCTTTTTCTGTACCCAGCATGCCAGTCTTATTGACTTTCGAAACTAACCTCATCATTCAGATTGACATTAACCTTGCTGATCAAGCGTGTTTGTATACACCGCTGTGAATGATTACGTAACACACGACGACTCAGGACAATTAACCAACCGTTACCGCGTGATATTTGCGCAATTGATGAAATCCAGTAATCTAACAAACTGCTAGTGTTTTCTAACACCACATACGCATGCTAGTATTCCTTCAACACACAACAATAGAACGAATCTACTGCGGCCTGTTTTTTCGAAACATTTTTCGAACAATAGGGGAGAAAAACTCATTGTGTGACAATACGCTAGGTGACGGAAAGGTGTGAGAAAATCTATCAGCTGTGAAGCACTATTTGGCCACTCACACCAACGTGAAACGATACGCAAATAATTAACTGATTTAAGGACGAGCGCTCGTCACAAATGTGTCCTCTAAGCGACTGCTCGATAGTCGAGGCGGATTCAGGTTATCTAATCCCAACTACATCTGTTTGCTCACCTTGTTCACTTCGACCGTCCTAGCGTCCATGGACACACTGTTCGATAATGTTGAATTCGACACAGGCGAATTCAGGACAATAGCTCCCACTGAGTAAAATAATATCGCCGGTGGTCGGTCAATCAGTCTCCACTAATATCTCCCGAAAGTGAACTCTCGGCGACTCACCTACTTTGAATGCCTAACGAACATGTTCGCTGTGTTCATTGACATACAGCCGACATTTCGGCTATCCAACTACAGGAGTGTCACATGAAACCCCACAAAAAAGATCAACTAAGTACTGAATTACCACGAACCCAACCTCTGCCTCTCCACTTCCCCTGTCTAGGCTTAGGCCACCTGGCAGTATTCCAGCCCTCGTGCTTACTTTGGGTGGCATAGCAGCTAGGCCCAGGAAGGGCGTTACGGTTAAACGATTTTTTCTTTGAATTGCCACAGGAAACTTTTACCGCGGTGTTTAGAAGTGTTAACATGTTTGCCCCTCAACGTCCTAATCAACAGTAAAGTGACCTTAACAGAACAAGATGCTGAAAGCGCTCCGACAGATAACCACTGTCTTCACCCTTCTTAAGACTCATCAGTTAGGTGTGGTTGCCGGATTTCTGTCAACATTCCGCTTTACTTCAACACTAAAATGCACGCAACGAATCAGTTGGATCTCTCGTTAGCACCAATACGATCTGAAAGTGAGTGTGTTCTGCCGACTACAGTGATCTGTTTGGCAGCTTTCAATCACTTAGTTCCTAATGGCCAATCCAAAACCTCTGCTGTGGAATATCTAGGTACGATCCCACCAAGTAATCCTAGTTGGTCACCCACATTCAGATCGTCTTTATTAGAATCTGACCTTCGGCTGTCCGTGCACTTAGAGCGAAAATAGTTTCTGCTGCTTTCCTCTTCTTCAACAAGTTTTTTCGTGTGTTTTAATCCCATCGTACTTGAGCTACGGTCCACACATTCTCTTCCCTGGAATCCTCGAGAAACACTGCTGATTATTCCAGCACACATCTCCACCTACTGTGGAAGGTCAAACAACGAAAAATTCTTCCTACTCTCTCTATCTTATTATAGCCCCGTGCTTGTATTTGTGAACAAATCAGTGGGGTCAGAACTCCCAAGTCCCGTGAGTCTGGGAACGTGGTTTATTTTCCAGTCAATCTCACTGCACCAAACTCCCACTGACGATTTCCGTAGATTGGTGATGAAATATTTGCAATCCGACTGCCAGGCTCGGTGAACAGACTCACAACCAATAAGAGGTCAAACTTTTCATGTGGTTAACGGGCACAAAAACAAAGAGACTTGGTGCGCACCTGTATATTTTGAAGGCGGAAGTGAGTCGAATCAAAATAATCTACATAAGTTAGTCTAGGAATGTACTGAGAATGAAACGCACGGGCCAGAGTATCTGTACAATTGGACGTATCTTCAATGGACGGAAGGTAGTTGCTAAAACGAACCATCAGTCACCGGCTAGAAATACCGATCACCAGTTGTTGTAGCGGAGCGATGTAGTTTTGCACTTTAAATTACGCATCCGACATACAATGTACGCTCTCCAGTGAGGAAAACGCCAACGTTCGCGAAAATGGGTCATGCCGGGGTGACCGAAAGAAATGAGGCGCATGCAGAGAGCACTTAGACGGATGAAGGGTGGAGATAACGTTCCGAACACGAGCGAGACCTAATGCGGAGAGGACGAACGGCGGAACGACTGAACACTGATCGCGTTCGCTGATCTCCCACGTGGGACTGTGCTTTCTCGATATAAGGTGCCTGGGTTTGAAAGTCACAGCCAGGAGTCGGAAATTGATCCTCGATTACCACCAGCCCCAGGATCACGGTGATATCCCCGGAAATGCCACCTGTGAAATAACGAATCAGGGGGTGGAATTTTTAAGGAAGTTACGGAAAAGCAAAACGTAGAAGCAAAACTAAGGATAATAATAATAATAATAATAATAATAATAATAATAATAATCGTTCAGCTGTAACACCCCTTCGGTGCCTAGCTGCCATGCCACCCGGAGGAAGCACGAGGACTGGGATACTGTCAGGTTGCCCAAGCCTAGACAGGGAAAGTCGAGTGGCAGATGTCGGGTTCGAACCACGGACCTTCCAGTCGGTAAATGCGCGCTCTAACCAATTGGGCCATCTCGCCCCAAGGATACTGTGTCAAGTCTGAAACATCAGAAATGATGTATCAATGGAATGTTTTAAGAATGCGCGTATGTGATGGCTCCTGCCGTGACTCACTAGTCATTTAATCCAGTTCAAAAGCTATCAGAAAAAAGGGGAATAGTGTGCAAGAAAAAGGAAGTTCATTCAGGTTGTTGTCCAAAGAGATTCGAACGCACATCCGATGTTCCAATCGGTAATCTTTTCTAACGTCACACGCACAAGTACGATTCCTTGTGAGGTTCGGGTATTTCGAGAAGTATCACCATCTACAGAATAATCAAGGCAAAACTATATTTTCTCAAAACCCATCGATCAACATGCTGAGAGAAATCCGTAAATCTGGATAGTTCGATGATAACCCATTGGTAAACACTGGCATTTAATTCAAAGACAGCATTGGATGGTATGATAATTCAAAAGGCTTTATGTTAATTAAGTAGGTAAATGTGTGCGGTGAAACGAACGAGGAACTGTTGGAAGTGTCGCCTTGAACTGTAAATTGGGAACTTTCTATACTCATAACTGGTGAATGGAACTCAGTTACAATAGGTCTACAAAATACCACACAAGTCAAAGTGGCATCAAGTGAAACATGTTTAGCCAATGGGTTGGAAAATCAGTCGAAAGGCAGTCAAATCAAGTCGAGTCAGATCCGGTCAGAAATAGATTCATGCATCCTGACAGATGAACGAGAGACACACAAACTTGGATCGGATATAAAAAAAGTAGGCACGTGTCCGACGATGCAGCGAGAAGACGTAAACCCGGAGGGTGAGTTAAGAGTGCATCACACAATGAGAAGGGATTAGCGCTTGTTGAATATAAAGCTCATGGAGAATTTTTTTAAAAACAAAGTTATATATCCCAACGACCCAACTATAAGACCGTAACAGCTCTCCAAAAGGCCACTGAATGTGACAGAGGAACAGCAAATCAGCTGGGGAAGCGAACATGATCGTGATCATTCATCGCGAGCTCCACTCGAGCCATCTCGAGCTCATCGGAAATTAGAAAGGAAGAGTCAGGTTATCTGGAATGCTACCAAGAAAATTGTCCAAAAGAATAACCATATCGGTAGAAAACGGCTGAAGAAAAATGCAGTGATCTTGGCAAGGTAGCAGAAGAACAAAAACAGAGTAGGTACCTAGAGAACGACGCCTAGTAAACCCTAAAGAGAATCGAAAAGAGACTCTTGTATAAAAGTCCCATTTCCTGCATCCAACACACTGACAGTCAACAAGGAACAAACTACACTCATCATGTATGACGAGGCCATTATCAAGATTGCCGTGGACCCTACTCTCTCGCAGCGTAATCACGCCACTTCAGAAGTTATGAAAGAGGTATCAACTGCTCTGACAACGTTTGGGGGGGGGGTTTTTTCTTGGTTTCTAGGTGGAACCACTTGATGGTTTAAGAACTACCATACTAAAGTGGTGTTTTCCTTACTTTCAGCAATGCTTAGAAAGAGGCGCAACTCTGTCTCTGGCGAACACTGTAACCGAAATCCTTAATACACGGGTCACTACAGTGAACAGTATGCAGTTGTGGGTGTGGCAGACATATCTTCGAAAGGAACTGTAATGAAGAGGCCCCCACTACACATACTTCATTTTGACAGCAGCGTTATGACTAATTCAAATAGCAGGACGCTGAATTTCTTGTGTAAAACATGCAGTAGTCATGAAATTGCATTCCTTTTTTTAGACTTCTTGATTAGGTCTCTAAATGTATGAGGATGGGCTTGACAGTACTCGGCATATGAAATGAAATTCGTTCTACGTGTTCACCACTCCGTTTGAAGAACACGACGGCTGGCGGTATAACGGTAAGGTGCGGTCCCCCGTTTTGCGTACATCCACATACGTGGTAATCAACCAGTCGACATATGTTGACGGTCACAAGGGAGGATAGCACGTGACTCGCAACACAGCCAAGTGAAATTTAAGCAGTTCATATTTTACCTTAGCAATTTCTCGACAATCTGAAGTCGCAATACTTGTCGTGCCAACTTTTTAAATGCCCTAACTGGCGCAGTACGACCCTAGTCGAACTGTGGATAAGATAGGAAAACACCCAACAGTGGATGACGACACGACTTCCCATATGTTGAATAGTAACTTGCGAGGAACTTGAAACCGCAGCTGACAAAGGTTGGATTTCCGACACCAAAACATGAAATACACAAGGCACATGGGGTCCACAGGAGTGACAATATGCTAAAGGAAATAAAAGAATATCAACAACCACGGATTCCCAGTTACGTGCGTGACAATCACGAGAGCCACTTCGGGAACCATTAGGTGGTGTGTTTCACGACTCCATCTTCTGAAATAAGAAAGCAACAACTGATCCCCCCAAAACCATAAACGATTCAGTCAAACACGTAAGCTCGAGCTCCTGTGTTCGATGTTTTCATGACTGGACAGCCCATCTCTTCCAGTCCTTGTTTTACCTGCTACGTTCGACCATTGTAATACTGGTATCAGGGTTTGTGAGTGAGCCTATCCAAATATATAGTAAACAACAGTGAAACGATTTTCTGATTGAACCGATGCGATAAACCAGTCAGACCCGTCAAGAACAGTTGAACGTTTATTTTCAGCACTCCATAACTCTTGTGCAGGATCGCTGCACGGTGTTTCGGTCAACGGTAGAAAAAATGTGAACCAAGACTAGACATGACTGACAATTACCGAATCCTATCGGGAACAAAAACTCGGTGGTCAGTTATCAGAACTAATCACATTTTATATTCAGGATACATTATATTACCATTACTAGTCACTATTAGTACCGGTGTTGGTGTTGCTATCTCTGTAAACTAACATTTGAACCACATTCAGGTCAAACATACCACGTCTTGAGTTCGGCAGTTTGGCACCTCCACCAGTTTAGCGCGCAACTGATCGATAAATTTGCTCTTGTCATTCGGATGCCAATGTGTGATGCGGAAAATAACTTTACGCACATCAAAAGCGATGAAAGTAAACAAATGCCAGCTAGAAATTTGGGGTTTATGTGCGCAACTTAAAATGCGTCTTTTGTTTCCATTTCGGTTGGAAAACATCCTTGATATCCACCAGAAGTAATTCCAAAGTGAAAATGTGGTTGATTAAAAACGACATGTCCGGTTAAATGAAAGAAGGGTAGAAAGCTGGGCGCAGTGGCAACGCCCTATTACTATAGAGTGTACTAATTATCTACTGTCGCATTTTAACAATGGTAGAAATGGATATTTCATCTACCGAAACCGTACTTAGCATCCTATACGATAAGGCGTGATTCAACAAGGGTTCTGAGGCAGTGTATCATCGCTTTATTTTCAAGTAGATGTTTTACAGCCTGTACGCAATCGGTCTCAGATCAGCTATGAACTTTACGATTCAGCTAAAGGGCAGCAACCAGCCGTGTTCGCCACAGCTCTAGAGCTCTATTCAACTGCCCCTTGTTCTTTCGGACAGCGTAGAAGCCAGACAACCACCAACCCACCACTACGCACTACTACGCTCCCAATAACGGCACCGATGATATCACCTCGATTCATGATGAAACGTTTACAATCCAATTGCCCAGCTCAGCGAACAAGCCAACGACCACCATCTACGCAACCTGAGCTACCGACATTTTCCTCTATAGAAAAGCTAGACTACATTTAGGGTCTAAGTACCTCGATATTTCGTGTGTGATTTCAGGATGCGTTCTTAAGTGGGAGTGGTGTTGTATCTGCCCTGGTATATGCCTACATTCTGTTGGGTCGGTAGGTTCACAGTCGGCCATCAAACAGAGTCCATGGGTTTTATTCTATTCAGCGTAGGTCGCTTCCGAAGCTACCAAAAAGGTGGGTTTGCGACCGAACTAGACAACGCACCAGAAATGCGCCAATTGCAGTGGCCAGTTGCGGAGGGTTTATCCAAAAAGCCCAACAGAGAAAAAATGTCCAAATCGGTCTACTTGACACATACCTGTAGAAGGATTAGAGGGAGCTGATCGCTACAATGCACTTTTTTTTGCCCTTTTAAAGGTTTCAATCAGTTACGTGTTGAAATCAAATTTGTCTCAGTGATACCTGATCAGATGACGAATCCCGCATTTCGGATCACAGTTTGTCATAGGTTAGCTGGATGACAGAAGTATCACAAACTGCATGGTTTGCGCAGCTGAGTGGAGTAGTATTCAGGATAGATGCATTGGGTTTGAAGTACGTCGGCAAAAGTAGCGCAATAATGCCAGGATATCTTGGCTCTGTTAACGACACTTCCGGCAGTCAGCCGGGACCAAACCAGAAAAAAGTCATCCCTAAAGGACAAAGCCTCCCTGCAATCCATATTGGGTCCGGTTAATTACCGACACAACTCAATCCTGACTTAACGTGGTGGTTGGGCTTGAGTGTTGCAATGATCCTGCGGGCCACACAGGCTGGGACATCGTTCCGCAAGGTGCAACCATGCGACGAAGGCCAAAGGGTAGAAGTCAGACCAAGAGTAGCGAGACCCCGTACTAGGAATGATCGTGCTACGAGGGAGTTTGGGGCTAAAGTCGTACTGTCCCCTGCGACAGGGGTGTGAAGGCAGTAAGGTGTTTCCCCCAGGCGACCAGCATGTCCATATTTATGGAAGCAGCTGCCTTCCCCCGAGGAAGGACGAGTTAGAAAACGTCGGCCCTATAAACCGCACACTCCGAC